AAAAAAAAAAAAAAAGAAAATCTCAGTCCTCATGCCTGGTTTTCTGAATCAGAATTTCTATAATATGCCTTGAAATTCTGTGCTCCTTCAGCAAATCTGTTTGGGAGCTAACAGTCCAGTCCAAACCTTCATTTTACAGATGAGTACACTCAGGATCTAACTGAGCTTTTTTGTGGTGACAGGGCTCATTAATATCAGAGCTAGAACTGGAATTTTGGCCTCCTGTTGGCATGTACAATTCCATTTTATGTTGTAGTATCTGTATTAACACTTTAAACATGAGAATTGTTTCATAAACAATCAGAGAAACAAATGAAATACCAAAACAGTTTGAAAACCTCTTGCTTTCTTGCTAATGTAGGGGCTAATATAAACTGAGACCAAAACAAATCTTTATAAGCAGGATTGGGAGGTTTAACATGGACAATAATACCCTTATTTATCTCCTTTTTAGACGGCTGAGTCAAAGACCAACACCGGAAGAACTAGAACAGCGAAATATACTACAACGTGAGTCCAGCTCTGGGAATAAAGTTGTATAGAGTTTCTCAGACTTTATATTTCTGACTTTAATATACATGCTAGAGAAGAGAAGCATTTTCTACAAGGGCCAAGGAGTGGGTGTTCCAGCCCAGGAAGGACCACTCATACCCTTTCCCCTGAAGGAACAGAATTCCCCCGAGCTTCCTTTACAAGATATTGTGGTATTGCTTAGTGTCCTGGGAACCGCCAGAAAATTCTGTTCTAATGTTCTCACAGTATCATGAGACTGCCCTGGCCATGTGGGAGGATTTCACAGCATGTGGTAGATGCTGCTCAACTTTCTCTGTCTTCGGGGAAGGTAGTGGCTGTGCATTTGGAGGGGACCTTCCTATTCCTAGTGGACTTTGAGGGCTGGGGCCCAAAGCAAGGCCCAGATGCCTTTTCCATCTCTGAAGACTTTCATACATCTGAAGTCATGAAACAGCAACACGTATTTCATTTTCTTTCTGTGTTCATAATTAACTTCCTAAAATAGCATTGTGATCTAATACACATTTGATTCCGTTTTCCAGACTCTAGGGTGAAATTTGCCCCTAAAAGCCTCCACACTGAGAGGATTAGGCTTCATAGAGTCACTTGTGGGCACACTCAGTCTGACCAGTCCATCCCCTATTCTCTCATCACCGTGTGGATACATACAGTTTAGTCACTAAGTGAATTTTGAACTTGGGAACCTTTATAGACATATCACACGAAACTTAGTGTGATCTCCATTCTTCATTCTTGATGGTTACTCTTGAGCAGGAATCTGCAGAGTTTTTCTAAGGGGCACACAGTAAATGTTTAGCTTTGCAGGCCAAAAGCAAAAGGAAGCTATTATGTAGGTACTTACCAAGCCATTCAATATATAATCATTTAAAAATGTAAAGACCATTCTTAGCTCATGGGCAGTAAAAACATAGCCAGCTGGCTGGATTTGGTACCATAGTGTTGCTGACCCTTGCTTTTAAGTATTCAACTATTACCAGTTAACAAGAAAATTGTCTTGATTAGCCATCCCCAAAGTTAGTATTTTATTCTGACTTGGAGCCTATAAGAAATATCTGCCCTGTAACTGCTGAAAACTTTGATATGCAAATTCCTGTTTTGAAGTAATATTCTTTGTCTTGGACTATTGACTGTAGCTAAAAATGAAGCTGATCGGCAAGCAGAAAAACGAGAGATTAAACGTCGGCTCACTAGAAAGGTACGTAGCTCAAGTGTTTGGTTTCAGTCTGTCTACTAATTACATATCTTGTGTTTGAATGATCTATTTGGTTAGAAAGAAATGAATTTGGGGCACCTGGGTGGCTCAGTCAGTTAAACTTCTGCCTTCAGCTCAGGTCATGATCCCAGGGTACTGGGATCAAGCCCAGAATCAGGCTCCCTGCTCAGCAGGGAGTCTGCTTCTCCCTCTCCCTCTGCCCTCCCCCTCACTCATTCTTTCTCTCTCTCTCTCTCAAATAAATAAAATGTTTTTGGGGCACCTGGGTGGCTCAGTCGTTAAGCATCTGCCTTCGGCTCAGGTCATGATCCCAGGGTCCTGGGATCAAGCCCCGCATCCAGTTCCCTGCTCCACAGGAAGTCTGCTTCTCCCTCTCCCACTCCCCCTGCTTGTGTTCCCTCTCTCGCTGTGTCTCTCTCTGTTGAATAAATAAAATCTTTAAAAAAATTTTTTAAAAATAAAAAGAAATGAATTTGTGAAAATAGAATCCATGATGCAGATACTGAAAACAACACAGCATTATCAAGAGCATGGTTTTTTTTTTTTTTTTTTTCATTTTTACTATTTAAAGAACGCCTGGCACAGGAAGGTGCCCCATTAATGTTTGCATAAATTCTGACCTTTTATTTGGTAAACCTAGGATTTTGATATAGACTCTAAAACCTGTTGAAATATAGAGACGGTAATAGGGGGAGTGTATATCATTCAGTTTTGCCTGGCAAACTGGTGGTTTTCTAATCAGAAGGAACTGAACTGACCCTTAGTGATACCTGGAAAGTATGAAGAACACCAGCGGGATTTTGTTCTTGGTCCCAGATCAAATGGGGTAGAATCTTTTCTGTACCAGAACTATGTTAGCTTTTAAGCTCGGGGATTAATCCCTTTTTCCTTTCCTTCCCACCATAACAGTTTATAATTGCCTCTGATCGATTCTGATTCGGCCTGAATTCTGTAGATATTTCTTAAAACTTATAAGAATCCCCAGAAAAGCCAAGGATCTAGACATTTTCTTCTTTATTTTCCACTTTTTCCCTTCTCCAGGAACAGAAGAATCATTCTTTTTATTTTTTAAAGATTTTATTAATTTATTTGACAGAGAGAGACCCAGCGAGAGAGGGAACACGAGCAGGGGGAGTGGGAGAGGGAGAAGCAGGCTTCCCGCTGAGCAGGGAGCCCAATGAGGGGTTCGATCCCAGAACCCTGGGATCATGACCTGAGCCGAAGGCAGACGCTTAACCGACTGAGCCACCCAGACGCCCCAGAAGAATCATTCTTGATAGAGAGTAGCTAGATGCCACAGCTGGACTTGATGCCTTCAGATTGAGTAGGTTACCTGATTGTGCAACCTTAAATCATAATTCATTACCGAATCTAGGCATTATTCATATTAAAAGGAAATTTACCCTTTACATTTACCCACTAGGTATTGCTTTCATATTAAATGTTCTTTCGGGGTGCGTGGGTGGCTCAGTCAGTTAAGCATCTGCTTTTGGCTCCGGTCATGATCTCAGGGTTCTGGGATTGAGCCCCATGTCAGGGCTCTCTGTTCAGCGGGGAGCCTATTTCTCCCACTCCCCCCATTTGTGCTCTCTCTCTTGCTCTCTCTCTCTCTCAAATAAAATATTTAAAAAAATAAAAAATAAATGTACTAGGGGCGCCTGGGTGGCTCAGTTGGTTG